GGAAGGAAGCCAACTCTTCCTCAGATGCTGTTCATGTGCATGGGTTCTTAATAGCGATGCTGTCACAAACACACTTGTCTGCATTAGCATGAACCCAGATAGAGGCTGGTCTAATGACTGTCAGATGCTGCTCTGTGACACTAAGGTCAGAATTGTTAATCAAGTCAAATGTCATTGTATGACTGCATGAAGGGCCGACCTGCAGCTTGTTATGCTGTAATCTTTTTTTAATAGTCACTCTAATTATGAAACTGTTAAGTATTTGCCAGCCACATAAAGTATGGTTATGTGTGAGGAATTTTTAACTACACAGTAATTTCTCAGCAGTTCACGTAGTGAGTTTTATGCATCAGCTTTAGTTGAAACATATTTGTCAGCTTAATTGATAACGCAAATAATGAATAGCTGCAATTCTACTGATCGATTTAGAATGTCAGAAAACAGTGAAAACTGCTATTTCTAAAGACCAGCCTGACATTCAGACTGATTGAACTGTTCAAACCAGTTTAAACTCCTAATATCACAGAAGTAAACCAGCAGATACTCTCATTTAAAGGGTCGGGATTTGTTCATTTCTGATGCTTGCTTAAAAAAAAAAACTTAAACAGTTAAATGATTTTCAGTAGTGCTGCTAAAAATTTCAGATAGAATGTGTTAGTCTTTTGTGACACGGCATTGGCACTACTAGACTAGACTCACAAATCTGCCCCGTGGCCTTTCTAATGGGCATTAAATCTCAACAGTAAGGTTGTTATGAGGGCGGCTCTGGAAAAAGATGCTGATCCTGCTATTTAAAGCAGAGAATTTATGCCCTTCAAGGTAACACAGATATCACTGTATGACAAAGCTGAGCCAGAAAGACGTGGTCCTCTATAATGCTGCCACATGTTATAACAAATGAGCTCCATCACCCAGAGACGTCCCTGAGGACCTATACACCTCCCCCCCACTGGGCTGGCAAAAATGCTGATACACATGACATTGTCAATGTTTTAAGCATCTTTCTGTCACATTAACGTCTGAGAGCTGAGAGCTACTGTTAGAAGAGAACAGTTGGATATGTTGCGCAGGTTGTTCAAAGTATTTCATGTGGCAGATCTCACACTCAGTCTGATGTATAAAAATGACAAGCACATTACACATTTGGCATATATAAATCAAATGTGTACTGTGGCAATAACAAACAACTACCAAAACTAACCAGCTAGATGTTTTTACCAAAACACAGTACAGGATTTCATGATTGTGTCTAATGTTCTTTATTATCCGCAGGGAGTCATTTTCTTACCTGGAAACAAAGTCACGGAGCATCCAACCAGTGGCGAAGAGGGGGGGAAATTTCTTTTCGAGGTCATTCCAGGTAGGACGAGATAAAAACTATTTAATAATTTTTATCTTTACTGAGGACAGAGTGATGATATCAGTGTGGACTGGGCAGCAGCAGGAACACAAACATGAGGTTTTGATCGCTCTTGTCTGTAGCAAACAAATGTCGGCAAAGTCTAAAACTCAGTGAGAATCATCTGGGAGAAATTTTGCCTGTTTTTTACACCATGCTATGACTCTCATGGCTTTTGTTCTTTAAGGAAAATAATCAAAGCACAGTGACTCAGTGGATGAGACAGATGAGATGTGCAGACAATTCAAGAACATGTATTAAGCCTTTAGGAGGCCCTACAAAAGCAGCACTGAAGAGAGGAAATGTCACCCTGTTAATTTCACCAGAAAAAGAGGACAAAGGAAATAGTGTTGTAAAACTGGTGCCTTCTTATGACATTTTCCCTCTATTACTTCTAGCACTCTCAATTTTTTTTTTTTTTGTTCACTCACAGGAACCTTTTTTCTTACCTCCAATTATAAACTATTTCCACGAAGAGACAATCTGTCCAGGGCTCATATTTGCTATTTTGATGACACAAAGTGACAGAGATTGAATGTAACTAAGTACATTTCAACAGACACATACAAACACAAAACCAGAGAGTAAAAGGTCAAAGAAAGACTAGTTAGTGGGATACTAGGCCAGAACTGACAGATGAACAGTCCAGGTGTATCACAGGTCTGCCTCTTGGTGGTGTTTTTGTTTTTGGATGCTGATGCTATTGCTAACAGTTTAGATGAGTGAACAGTTCATGGACTTGTTACTGCAAATCTTCAATGTTCGCATTGAAAGTCATGGCTGGTGACAACTGTGTTATGGCAGAAACAACCCCATTATTGTTTAGGCACTGTTTTATCTATATGTGCCTTTGGCAATGCACATGTAGAGTAGCAAAAATATTGTAAAGCCACAGTGAACATCCAAAAGCATTAGATATTTTTGATACAATAGTATTTTTGATGCTATCTGATCCTCTTTTAGTGAGTGAGCTGCTGTAGTTTTGGAAATTTGTTCAAAGACATATTGACAGAATACAATATATACTGTATAGTAGCTGATAATGCATACATGTTGGCTACCTGTATACAGTTGAACAGGATTGACATCAGCCATGTAGATCTAAGGAAGGCTGCACAAAAGGTTTATTTTTCCAGTAGCAAAAAATGTGCCATTAAAGGAATAAAAGGGAATTTCAAAAACAGAACTATGCAGTAGTTTCACTGCTTTTGTTAGTTTTGTGCATGAAATTGAAAAATACCCACACTATAAATAGATCATTTGTTTATAGAATAGCATTTTGTTCTGCAGACTGAACAGTCTGAGAGAGTTAAGGAAGTAAAAACTGTGTGGTGCATATTCTCAAACCCAGAAATGCATCACCAGCACATGTTGCAGTGGTTTGGTGACATCTTGAATAGATGGAACTGGTCTTGGGAACTGGTCTGTGTAACTTTTCTCTGGAAAGATGCAGGTTTCAAACCTTAAAAATAAATAAATCAATCATTCAATCATCTGCCTCACTGACTCAATGTGGAAATTTCAGTTCCCAATTTCCAGGTGCTGGTTTTGACATTTCTTATTTTAGGATGTGAATTGTGTGAAATGTCTTATCTTCATTGGAAACTGGGGTTTCTATGAAACAGTTTGTTGTGTCATTTGTGGTTCTGCGTGAGGGTGAATGTGGCTAAAATATGCCTCAGGGCAGTTTCAACACTGTTGTGCAGCTGTTTTAGTCTATGTTTTATGTTTTAGTCTATGTTTTATGTTTTAGTTGTTTTATGTTTTAGTCTGTGTTTTAGTAATGTCTTCTTACATACTGTAAGTAGTAGTAAGTCTTTCTCATTTTGCTTTGTTCAAAATTAGTAGGCGGTTACCAGTATAGTACAATGCCCAGAATAATTAATGACTTCACCTTCAGATATCAGTTTTTTTAACCAAGGTCATAATTGACTAATGATGCTATCATTACTGTACATATAACATTTTCATTGTTTGTCCTTAATTCATTTTTCACACCATGACTACACTGTCTGCAGTAAAGTTTCTTCTTTACCAGAAGCTAAGCTTGTTATGTCTGTGTCTCCAAAGCTATAAAATTACTCACACAGACCATAATGTGGATTAAAATGTAGCTACACGCATGTTCACAATAGGAGCCTTTGAATGTTATTAAAATACATTGACTCAACAGAAATTCAGCATTTTTACCACTAATACTACTAATCTGTTTTCCCCATTCTGCATCATCCACTATTGCTTCACACTGACAGGAAACAAGAACATGTCTTGTTATGAGGAAGCAAATAAAGAGGTCTAAGAGAGGCACAGAGCACAAGTGAAAGGAAAACACAACACATATATTCCACTGGTCTAAATGTGGCCCTGCAAAATTAACACAACACATGGACAGTCTCTGGCAGATGGACAGACAGGAAGTGGGGGGAGGGGGTAGTAGAGGAGTGCAAGGAAAATGGGGTGGAAGTCAGGGTTGTACAGACATGTCTATTGTCTTGATGAGATTTGAACAAGAATCGTGTTTCTAGTGACTGCCAGGTTCTCAAAACGCAGCATCAAACAGGTGTGTGTGTGCATGTTTATGTCTGGGGGGACATTCTCCCCTCAGATTAACACCCGACATTATATTTTTAGACTTTCTGGAAAGTTTTATTTTGTTACTTTGTGGCTTGAAAAATCTTAAAATGTTGCAAAACATCTCTGCTACTTTCATTCAGCTCTGTGTTGCTCTGGTTTTCCTCTGGTCTCATCTCTATTGGCTTTGCCTCTACACATCTGGATGATGTGTGTTTGACCTGCTGAAGTAGGAAAGAGAGGGGGGTTTATGAAGCAGCTTTACCACAATGCCATCAACATTTAGACTAAATTCATGGTTGTGCCATATATTAAACTGTCTGACACAGACACACAGGTGCTGTACAGACACAGTAGTGCTTTTGTCTTGCCTGTCCAAACCAAGACACCAGTGACGTTGTCTTCCATCACAGTGACATGGTGCAACATGTGCAAACACACATGGACTGAACTAAACAACAAAAGTCGAAATTTGTGTTTCTGAAAGTTTATTTTAAAGATATACTCAGTAGGACATTATTATACTATACTTGACAGAAAACGGCTGCACCTGCAAACTATTCGAAATGTTGGTACCTCGTATGGAAAGAGAAAAAAAATATTGTTCATACACAGGCAGCACAAACAGAATACAACTAGATATATATATTTCTGGAATGCATACCAGAACATCCTGCCTCTTGAAATCAGTGTGTAGTATTGTCGAAGTGTCCTTGGGCAAGAACCTGAACCCCCAAGTTGCAGATGGCTGCCTCGGTTCTGTACTGGAAACAAATTCCTTGTGTGTAACATACTTGGCCAAATAAAGATGATGATGATGATTATTATTATTATTATTATTATATGATGTTGTTGAATCCTCCCAAGAATGTCAGGTATGGTCTGAATACAGAGCTCTGAGCAACAGAGATGTACAGTACAACGAGCAAGCAGAGTTGGACTTTATTGAATAAAAATTTTAGACAAAATGCCACGGACTCCTCATTTATTTACCTGCCAAAGCTGCATAAATACCTGCAGATAAATGGCATTTGCCATGATGCAACTATGATTAATCATCCCACTGCTTCAAATCAGGAATCAATGCAGGAAACACACACCTCTGTGCATTTGATGGAAAAGCAGTGTGCTCCTCTTTCCTCAAGTTCTAATAAGCACAAGGCCTTGGCTCCACTATGAGTTAAATATGTCACTCTCTCTCTCTTTATGCTCCAAGGCACAGTCTGCTCTGTTTCTCTCACATTATTTTGGTAATCTGGTTAGAGTAGCTGGCCAGGTCGCTGCTGCTGAATTATGGGAATATTTCTTTGCTCATTCCCATTCACCAGTATCCCTTCATTCATGAGAGGACCTTGGGATTATGTTGCCACAAGCAGGTGGACAAAGCTTCAAAACTGTTTACAGGGTAAAGCCTGAGTCCATACATACCTAAAGAGTAGAAAGGTTTCCCCACAAGCAGTATTAATGACTTTGTTTGGCTCCAGCTTATTGCATAAAATGACATGGTGCAGCAGTGAAGTCAGGATGTAGTACAGCCTCAGAGCTCCTCTCTAATAAAGGTGATAGTGCCCTCATGTGGTTTTCTAAGTAACTGCAGTCTTGGGAAACTCCTGAAAGCTGCAAATAAGCATGCAGATCAGGTGCATGAATAAAATGACTCAAACAACACATGAAATGGCAAAAGAAAAAGAAACATGACAATGGAGATAATACACAAATAAACAGATATTGAGAAACAACAAAAACATATGAAAGAAAGAAAGAGGAAAGAGAAAACGGCTCCTGGAAATAAACAATACTCTTCCCAATGTACACTTATATGTATATATGCTAATCCATATACAAGTCTGATCAAATGAATCCAACACACAGGACATAAACAAGCAGCTCTCTGTGATCAGGCTCCACATATTGATTTAATTAGCAGCTGGCTGCATAGTGCCATAGCCTCTAATGCATCATAAATCCAGGAGGAATATGGGCAGTATCGGGGAATGGATTAAGAGGGAAAGCAAGTGATTTTATGGATATTGGTGCAGTAAAATGATTCAGCCCAAAGACGTGATGAGCTTCTGTTTTGAAATGTTACAATAGCTATCTTCATTTGTGAATCTCCCACTAGTGTCTGCTCAGAGCCTACAGGATCTAGTCAGTGTCCTTTTTCTCTCAAGAGCTCACTTTGTGATATGACATTTTCAAAAAGGTCAGAAACTGAACTTCTCTGCTTTGCTGGCTCTTTTCCACTGCATGTTTGTGTGTATGTGTGTAGCCATGTTTATGCATATCCATGTTTTCCCAGTGTGCATATAAAGTCAATAACCTGCTGTTTGTGACACAGTGGCATGTGGCCTCCTGGAGGAGTTGTGGCCTGGCAATCTGGTGCTGTGGGA